TTTTCCCAGATTGTGACTATAAGAGAAATACTCTTGAACAGTTAAAATCTGAATCAAAGCGTTTTTTATTATCTACGGACTTAAATTTTCTTTTTCTTTTTTTAGTAAAATAATTTAAACTAGCACTATTTATTTCTTCTATTTGCTTTTACTTTTATTTGTTCTAATTTTATTTTTTAAAAAGAATTAAAACATTAACAGTTATATTAATTATGAAACGTAGTTTTACACATTTTATATATATTTTATCACAAGTATTTATCACGACATTATATATTTTATTTAGGGTCTGTTTATATGGAAAGCGAGCTGGCTCGTTTGCCGAGCTAGCCGGGATAACTTCTGTTACAACACAAGTAATGCAACGTAAAGAGCTTTACTCTGAAACCAAATCCATGAAAAGAAAACGTGAAAGCTTGTCCACACATCACTGGGAGCTACTCAGTTATTATATTTTGCCACTATAAATTAGTTCGGCCAGTTTTACTTGTTGCGGATTAAGAGTTTTTGGGGCCCGGGGCTATTTTTGTTTTTGGGCCAGAGCCTAAAAATGACTAAAAAAGGTCCTCTAAAATTTTTGGGGACCCCTAAATTTGAGGGGCCCGGGGCTATAGCCCCCTATCCTCCCCCCCCTCCTTAATCCGGCACTGACTGTTACTTATGCTTATTTTGTGTTTTATAACATATGAGAAAAGACAAATTCTTGTGTTGAAGATGACCTAGTTAAATCGAATACAGATCTTATTAAAAAAAACAAAAAAGAATTCAAAAATGTTCCAAATCCAATTTATTCATAAATGAAACTGAAGGATTAGTTATACGAAGAACTCTTACAAACTTGATGGCCTGAATATGTATACATGTTCATAAATAAGACAAATTTTTTAATTCTTAAAACCATTTTATAAATAAAAATCAATACATGTTTTGACTAACTATAGTCAACTTCAGTTCGGCAATTATTTAAAAACGCTATGTCTAAAACGGCTTTATTTAACTTATGGTTCAACTTTTGTAAAATCTTTCTTTGAAAGTTGTTTATACTTAAGTACAATGTCATTTATAATTTAAGCAAAATTTCTTTTAGGCACCAAAAATGCAAATATTTTCATAAACAAGAAAAAAATTTTAATTTTCAAAACCATTTTATAAATAAAAACCAATAAATGTTTTGACTAACACTGCCATCTTCAGTTCTGCAATTATTTAAAAACGCTATGTATGTAAAATTTCTTATAAAATAAATAAAGTATTAAGATAAACTCATATTTATTGATGTCTTTTTAAAAAATACTACATGCTGTCATACATAACAACATTAAAAAACTGTTATGAAAGTTTTTATCTTCCAAATTTTTTATTTATTCTACATTATGTGAAAGTTCTATGCGATATGAACTTATATTGTATGAAAAATTATGTTAAATTGTATATCTTATGAAGATTTTTATCTTTATATATTATATATTTCTTATTTATTGTACATCTTATTAAGGCTTTATTTTATAACGAAGTTGAGCATAGTAACAATATCATTATATTTTGTAAAACTTACAAAGAGGCTCATTGAAAAGATTGTGATGACTTTAGAATGAGAAAAGATTTCAATTTTAATCTTTATTCTTTATTAAGACTGTAATAGAATATGAGGATTTTAAAGATGAACCTATTTCATCAAAATATTTTCAAAGTGCCACGTAATGAAACTATTGTGGCAAAGAGTCACATGATAAATCTCAAAGATCCGTATGCGAGTCGCAAGTTGCAGATTTCCGGCTACTAATTAGACATGTTATATTTAATTATCAGGAATCTTTAATTTTAAGAGTCAATAGACAATATATGCTTATTTCATTAGATAAATTCGGAATTAATGCGAGCTGACTGAATTTAAAACTTATTGTGAATTTTTTGAGTAAAAGTTTTTAATAGTGCAGGTCACTATATTTCAAAAAAACTCTTCGTGTGCACATACGTCTTACAAGATAACTTTTTGTTAATATGAGATCCTTGTATCAAAAGGATTTGAAAAGTGAGAGGTGTCACTTAATATTTATGGTTTATGTCACGTGGTATGACGTAATAGATCTCCATAGCAAAAAAAAATTTTAACCCATATTTTAAAAATATTTTATACCATTAGAAAGAACATTAAATAAGCTTTTAAAATCATATAAGAAACATATGTTGAAAATTTTTGTTTCATAAGATAAAGGACGTTGTGTAAGTTACCAAACCAGGGGTCATTTATAAAAATTACCACTAGATAAAAGATAAATTAAGAAAAATTGAAATAATTGAGCTAATATATAAATATTAATATTATTATTGTATAAACATATAAATAATATTATATGCAAATCAAATTTATATTTACATTTATAATGTTTAATTAAAAAAAGACCCCCGGAAAATATTTAATTAATAGTATTTATACTGTTTTTGTTTTTTGAGTTTAAGAATGAAAGCTTAGAATATTTGAAGCTTTTCATTCAATAAATGTTTTTAATTTCATTTTTATTATAAGTTTAATTGACTTTATAAAGTTTTAAAAAATGTTTTTAATTTCATTTTTATTACAAGGTTAATTGACTTTATGTAATATTGTAATATAAATGAAATTAATATAAATGAATAATATAATGTAATATAAATTGTAATATAAATTGTAATATAAATGAAATTAAAGACATATATTGAATGAAAAGCTTCAAATATTCTAAGCTTTCATTCTTAAACTCAAAAACCTTCTTAAACTCAAAAACTCAAAAATTTTGGAAATATTTGTTAAAATTAACGTGCTTACAAGCTGGTAGTTAATAATACGAATAAATTAAATTGCGTCTTATAAAATTCTACATTCATAGTCATAGTTTTCCTTTTGCTCGTCTACATTATTATTTTTACATCCTTTACACTTACACATATCAGTACAGACAAGTTTGTTTTTTAAAAATTTGCACCTTTTATTAATATATTCTCCTTTACAACGACAGACAACAGGCGCTCGATAAGTGCTATTGGTGCTGGCAGCTTATCAGCCATTATATGGTCAAAAGATCCATTGTTTAGTTCCCAACTATACTCCACAGGTGATGGTAGATACTGTACGGACATGTTAGAGCGTTTAAGCACTAAACATACAAAGTGACTACGGAATATATGGTACTTAAGGACATTCATTGTTGACGGAAATTGTGCAGCGTCATACTGAAATTTAGAGAAAAGAAACCAACGAAGTTGAAATTCAGAATTTCGTCAGCGTCGTTTTTCAAGTCAATATTATTAATAGCAAAGTGAAATGGCATTCCCATTTGAATATTAGGAGGTACAAATGCGCATTGATTTGTTGATATGTTTTCAATAACAACATTTCCTAAACAATTTTTGATATTTATAACGCTATCATAGGAAATAGAAAGTCCAAGATATGCCAAGCAGTTTACTAGCTTCTTATTACGGGTTTCTTTATGCATATGTAATCCGAGGCCAATTAAAAAAGGTGTTTCAGTAACATCTCTGAAATCATTATCCATTTTTGAGCAATGTGAGATTTGCTTATTGCTTTTTGCGAAAAGTTATCAACACGGCTATCGATGGATTTTTTTTCAACATAACACGAGTCTACATTTTGTTTTGGTTCAAGTGTAACCCAACATAGCAAAGAAAATAATGACGTCGGAGTATCAAAACCAGTGAAATTTCCGTCAAACTTCCATTTTCTTTGCTGCAGGATTTCTTTCCGAATTATTTTTGCTACCTCGAAAATTGTTGTTTAATCATCCAGATTGTTTTTAAAGTTATCTACCGCCTTTGCTTGATATTTGCTAGAGCAAAGCTTTCGGACTTTCTACGGCACGGAGGTCTTGAAAAAACTATTTCTTGCACATTATCTTGTAGAAGTTTCTTTATAATTCACCTTCTGTCTGGTCCTTATTCTTAATTAATTTATTGTTCTAACATACGTTGCAAACTTTTTTGGTGGGTTTTTTGGTAACAATCTCTTGCATCTGGGTCATGATAGGAGTACCTTTGCCTTAAACATACTATTAGTTTTTCCAAAACGTCACGCAAACTGGTTTTTACAATCTGAAAATAAATTTACTATTTGCTAGGAGACACCTTTAAAAACTGCTTAAAAAAACATATCCAAAATGCACCAAATCGTATTTTTAAAGGATAAGAGATGTAAAAACACGTAGATTTATATTTTTACGTAGATATATGAAATAATATCTAAATCAAATAAACAGAAATACTTTTTTTTTATGATCATCCTGCTGGCAAAATATGCATTTAGTAAAGTCAAAAATAAGCTTTCTTTTTTTTCGTTTTTCGTCATCCATTTTTTATTTATATTTAATATGTGAAACAGCAATAACACAGTATAGAAACGTTTTTAAAAGCCAAAAACAAAAACAAATCATTCGAATTGATGCATTCTTATAGGAAGAATTATGTAAAAATAAAATAACATTTCTTGAAAATTATTAAAAATCACAAAGCGACAGTTTACCCCCGGTTTAATTAAACATGTTTACTTCTGTATCTTTTCAAGTAAAAAATTTCAACATAAGTTTTTTATATTATTTTGAATACCTGATTTATGTTCTTTCAATTGGTATAAAGAAAATTTAATTTTCTAAAAAAAAAACTTTAGTTGCTATGGGGACCAGTTACGTCATATTACCTGTCACGCAAAATGAAAATCAAGTGACACCTGTCATTTTTCAAATCCTTATGACTTAAAAAAGAAACAATTTAATTAAAAATCTTAAATCAAACTGTATTATTGGATCTCTTGTCGACCTCCATCTAACTAGCATCATAATGACAGTAGCGAGTAGCAGCTCGTTTACATTATGCACCTATTAACTTGGACTAATGCAATACGCTTATATAAGGGTATCTATATTTGTACTGTAAAATACATAAAATAAGAGGTTGGTTTTTAATATAATTTAAAAAACGTTTTTGTTGAATAAAACCATAAAAAACTTTACATTTTACGACAAAAATATTTGTACAATAATTTTATAATTTATTAAACTGTTACGTTTAGTTTTTATAAATAAAACCAAAACGATTATAAATAAAACCAAAACGAATCTCTATCTCACCATTGTTTTTTTACAGACTAGTTAATGTTTCTTGAGTCGACCTTCTTTCTGTTATTTTTACTTCTTTACTGGTCCTGATTTTTAATTTTTTACTGATCTTAATTTTATTTATTAGTTGTTTGAATGCTATTAAAAATTGTTGGTTAGAAAAACTGTATATAATCGGATTCACCATAGTATTCATTGAAGGTAAGATCTGTATGCAAAAGTAGAAGATAAAGTCAAAAAAGGTTCGATTAGTCTTTTTCAAGTCTTTAAAAATGTTTTTATTAACCATAATGATAATATTGACAACGCAGGAAGGAAGCCAACAAATGAGAAATGCTGTAAAAACAATTGCCACTGATTTTGTCGCTTTCAACTCTCGTTTAAATTTTTTTTTTCGTTTTTCTTTTGTTATTTGTTCTTTTGAACTCATTTCCTTTTGTATATTAGGTGTAGCGTCTTCAATGGCATTGATGTGGCGTTTTGTGATATGAAGAATATTTATATAAGTGTGCGTCATTATAAGTAAAGAAGTAATATATATTCCAAAAAATGAAGAAGCGTAATATTTCACGTTTTGGTTAGCACAAATATTATCACTACTTATAGAGATTGATAACTGTACAGTGTTATCCCATTTAAACAACCCAACGATACTCCATAACACTGCAAAAATCCATATTGTTAAGACCAAAAGTTTTGCACGTGTTGCCGATATCAAATGAGAATAATGGAATGGAAAGGTTATCGCAACAAACCTAAATTTATTATAAGCAGAAAATGTATCATTTGTTGATAAATTGAAAAATAGGTAAAATTAAAACAAAAAACAATCGGTATTGTTTATTTGCTTTTATTGATATTCAATATATATATATAAAAAAGCAAATACTCAAAAAAAAAAAAAAAAAAAAAAAATGTAAACCAAAAAGAAATGAGCTTTGAAATAATGATATATTTGTTATTAAAAAAATTCCTACCCAATAAAAATATCTAAGCAAACGTCTATACAAATAACCAAATATAAGTAATTGATTTCATGCGAAAAAGTAACATAATTAAAAACAAAAAAAAAATCTTCTATTAAAGTGTAACTTTTATTCGCTTAGTTGTCACAATTTAGTTTCGGACCAAATTTTTTTTTCTTTTTCTATTAAGGTGATCTAAAAAGACCTAACGGTTTTATCGCAAAGCACCTTGAAGAGCATTTAAGTGGATTAAAAGTAGTGATTTTTGTTGTAACATCAATCAAGACAAGTTACAAGTTAATTTTGAATAAAATAAATCCACTAAATATTAATATTTCAGTTTTAAACTTACCTGTCGATGGCAATGATTAGTAAGCCTAATATGCTGGCTACATTTCCAATAACGTCCGATATTAAATATATATAACACCCAGTGAGACCGTAGCAAAATTTTCCATCATTAATTAAGATCTTCCATGGAATTAGAGCACACGATAAAATCAAATCTGAAAATGCTAGAAGAAAAGAAAACTTCTTTAAGTAAAAAAATATTTCACTCTTTATAAAATGTATTCACATGTACGTTACTTTATTTAAATATATTTAATTACCTAATATACCAAGTTTATTCACACCAAGAATTTTAATTTCCTTTGATTTTATAACTCAATAACTTTTACTTTATTTATTTATTTACTTTTTTTTTCTTTTCTTTTTACAGCGATCATTATTATATATTTCAAAAAAGTAATATTTACATGTCTCTAGTTTATTTAGTTTATATATATGTAAACTAAACATATTAACAATGCCTAAAAAAAAATTTTTAGAATGCTGTTATGCGCATTTGCATTTGACAGTGGATTAACGGATCGTTAAATTACGCAACGCAAAATATATTTAAAGAACAGAAGTAGGAGATAATAAGCTCTTTTACGCGATTTTCATTAAACTTAGTTGTAATTATTTATTTAAATTAATACTCTGCGAGGAAAAATTGTTGATCTTTTTTGTTTTGTTTATTGTGAAAGTTTGCGTTACGTAATTTATGGACGATCCCTAAAATAATTAATTTAAAAATTCGTAGTTTATAATATAACCCACGGACTTATACCCGATTCACACCAAAACTCCACTTAATTAAACTGCTTCTCATTAAAACAAAATTGGGAGGTTCAAATTTAATGGGAGTGAAAAAACCTAAAACATTTTAAAAATAATACTGTTAAAACTTGTTTTATTGTTGGTAATAATTTTAACATTGATTTTTTTTTCTTTTTCTGCCTTATCAATTTATTCAAGTCGTAAAACATAATAAACATTAGCGTGGGCAAGAAAAAAACATAATTTGTCTTATCACCAAGCCCCTTAGACTATACCGTAAATATTAAACAACAAAAAATAAAAAACGTAAAACTATATAAATATAAATACTTATATAATATATAAATATAAATACGTAACACTATATAAATATAAAACGATTTAATACTGCTTGTTGTAAAGAGCAACTTTTATTCATTTTTTTAAATTTTTATTTTATTTTTATTTTATCCATTTTTTTAAAGTTTTATAAATTTATAGTCATTTTTTTAATAAATTAATTATGACAAAAAAATACTTGTATCTAACATTGTGTTAAAACCATATTTATAACTTACTCGACATTGGGATTGTTGACACAACTTGCTGACATTTTTTTTTGTTGTTAATTTACTCTAGCGCTTAAAAATTAAAACTGCAGAAAGTTAAACAATTTTGGTCTTGCATGTATCATATATAAGGACACATATCATTTTAATGATAAAGTAATTGTACTTAAATTTACAATTGTATGTCTCTAACTTAGAATGCTTAGTTTTATTTAGATTATTTATAATTTTTGTCTCTCCCTTGCACTTATCTATAACAACTGTCTAACTTTTATTGCTGTATTCTACTCCACGTAGTGGAGTAATATAGAAACACGTGGAGGCTATTAACTGCATTGTAAGCATTTGTAAACGCAACATCCTAGTAAGCTCAAAACGTGTTTAACACGTTTAAAATACATTTTAAAGACGTATTAAACACATCTTGTGCTAACTGCGATTGCAAGTGTTTGTAAACGCAAATTACAGTTAGTTAACCAAATTACAGTCAGTTAACCAATCAATTTTATTTATTACGTGGTTAACTGGTGTTTTATTTTTTTGATAAAAAATTTTTTTTTTTTCTAAAATAACACGATTTTAATTTATTTAAGCATAAAAAATTAAATAATATCAAATTTAAAAAAGGAATAAAATGTGTTTTACCTAAACTAACGATAAAGTGCATGGTAGCTCTCTTTCTCAAAGATTTTGACAAGAAAATGGCCATAACCACAACAAGATTGCCAAACACACTTGCTAATAACAGAGCGATCATAAATAAAGAATAAAGTATGGTTTCAGTTGAAAAAACAACTTCACATCTTAGAACACCTTTTGCTACATTTACTGCATCTGTTCTATTTCCAGATGTTATTTGAGTGCTTAAGAAATGTTCAAGTGAAATATTTTTCTGCACAAGAAAAAATCCTTTCATTTTCTTAATCTATAACGTGCTAAAAAAATCAGGTATAAAAATGATAAAAATTAGCAATAGGGTTAAGTAAAATTAATAATATGATATAGTTATAAATAAATAACATTTAGTTGGATTTCATGTCTTTTTTTACGCAAGTGCAATAAAGCAAATGTCCTTTCCTACGCGAGCGCAATAAAGCCTTTCTCCACTCGAATACTTTCGAATTTATACGCATAACGGTTTGTAATTTGAAAATGATAATTACGTATATTGTTTTGACTTTTTATATAGATTACGTATATTACTTGTTGTTTTATCTGCATATTGTTTAAAAGGTAACTTACAGTTTTTTATTTTGATTTGTTAACCTGCAATCTCGCGTGCCGTTTTATACATTATTAGCTTTAATGGCTTTTTAATAGATTAATTTATTTAAAAAGCAAAAATAAATACATAAAACAAAAAATAATAAAATGTTAAAAAAAATTTATCTTTACAATTGATAGTTAAATTAAGACTAATAAAAAAAATAATAATAAAGAAACAAAAATAATAAAAAAAAAAAACAGAAAAAAAAAGTAAAACTATTCATAATAAACAGTATTAGAACAAAAAAAAGTTAATAGCCTTTTTTTTTTCTTACAGGTTATAGAGTATATTATTAAATAAAAATTTTTGACCATCATAACTTTTGCTCACATCTGAGGATACGTCACTGTGCCATTATGTAGGTACATTAAATAGCAAAATCACAATTTATAGTTTGCGGTTCACAAATCTTAATAATTTATTCCCCAAATAATTTGTACAGATTATCCATTCTAAAATTCATTTTTTTAAACAACAAATGTTGCAACCATGTTCTTATTCTTTTGCTGTAAACTTTTAAAATGAGTAGAAAAAAAAAAAAAAAAAAAAAAAGAAAAATTAATATTTGAATTTAATTTGAATGATAGATATTGTAAATTTAAAGGTCGAAGACAGAAAATGCATTCCATTTCTTTACTATTTTATTAAATGACTGTTAAACGAAACAACGCCTTCATACCTCCGACCAATCAATAAAGATAATCAACAATTTAATAGAAACTTATTACACATGCTTTCTTTGTGTACAGAATACAATACAATACAATAATTTCATTGAAATTACAATAAATACAATAATTTCATTGAAATTATTATCAGAAAATTTAATATGATTATATTTTTAGGGAAAAGTTTTTTTTAAAGGATTAACCATTAGTTAAGATTATAAAAGGTTTAGTAAAATTAACTAATTAATACAGTTTAAATAAGGGGGAAAAAAAAAAAAAAAAAAAAACACATTAAAAAAGACACAAAATGTTAAAAAAATTAATAACAAATTTTTTTTACAGAAAGACATGTTTACGTTATTTTTAATAATGTAGGTTAAAATATTTTAGTACACAGTTAGCCGATTCGCAAGGGATATAACACTTCCACGAAAGGATGTTTTTATACGTATCACCTGGCTTTTAGAGTCATTTAAGAATCTGCAAATGTCATCATTAACACAATATAGATGAAAAAAAGCAACTTATAATATAATATATAACTCAATTATTATTTTTTTTTATTAATTAAAAAAATAATACAATATATAGATCACTATTATTATGCAATATAGTATAGTTCAATATTTAATATTAAATACATTATATAATTTCTAAGGTATTAAATATTTTATGATATTATTAATTTATTTCAAAAACAGTTAATAAAACGATTTGAACAGACATTTTTATTTAAATTTTAAAGAAAATAATTTAGATATTATTTGACTGATAAATTCATTTAACAGTAAAGCATATTTACCTTTGCATACGCAACGCATATTATTTACTACAAAGGCAATTATTACGCAATGCGTTCAAAGTGCAAAATAGCAATTTTTCAAATTGCACAATATTAGTGTAATATATCGTATATATAAAATAATATATCGTAAAGGTGTATTTATAACTAAAACAATATAAAATTAAAATTTATCATAATTGTGAACACATTTTAGAAAAATATAATACGGCATATAAACTTTCTTGTTACCTTTATAAATAAATAAGAAAATTGTCGTTTTTTAAAAGCAATTCCTTTGTTTGGCTGGGCAATTCCTTAGTTCGGCTTTGCAATTCTTTTTACAAACTTTCAAATAAGTTACACTTTATTTTACCATTTTTATTTTCAGCAAAAATAATTAAAAAATATCGAATTTTGTTAAAAGAAAGTTATAGTTAATATATACTTTCTGAGAAGCTTTTTTCTGAGCGCTTTTAAAAGGATTTTCGAAATCTTGAGATTGCTTGAAAGCGCAAACATCAAAGATAAAGGAAACGAAAAAAAATTGGAAATATTGAAGGTTTCTAATAAAGAAAAAAGAAAAAAAAAGAAAAAAAAAAAAAACAAATGGCGAAAATTTTTGAATTTATAAAAATTCGAAGTCTCAAAAATTAACGAGAACTTCTTATCAAGTATCAAGTATCTTTAAATATACAATGACTAAATATCTTGCAAATTTAATACCATATAAAAGTATTTATTCTGCCAATAATTTAATTAATCATGAAGTGTTAATGTAGTTTAACAGCTGAAAAATCTTTTAAACATTCCTTTTAAATTTATTAGAAATAATTGAAAGTTAGTTAGACAAATCAATTTAATGAATGAGTGACGCAAATAGGTGGTTTCCGGAATGTTTTTATCAAGAATTAATTAAAAAATAAACTAAATTAATGAGTAAACATCAACATTTTTTGAACTGATAAAGTTTGTGTATCAAACTTCTCGGAAAAATGCAGTTTAGCAAAATCGAATTGGTTTATTTGATTTAATTTTCACTTTACAGGTTTTTAAATTATAAGTAGCCTTTTTTTGTTTTTATTTTTTATTACAACTATAGTTGATTTAAAAGTAGAACGATGAATGAACTAAAAACAAAAACAAAAATCGTTATTAATCACAACAATCTTATCATCTACTCCAACAACATTCGTCATCAATCACAACAATCTCATCACCAACTCCAACAACATTTGTCATCAATCTTAACAACCTAATCATCAACCACAACAAGGTTCGTCATCAGTCACAAAAAAAACAAAAACAAAAAAACATTAAACACTTTCAATATGAAAGACTACTACCCACAGCAAAGGTTTTCAACGTAGAGTTTGGTAGGTGCTGCGTTAGCATATAAGTAGCTGCCCATTATATTAAAGTTAGCGGTGCGCCAACCTTAAGCTAATGAGAATTATTTATATTTATATTATATATCATAAAGTTGGCGTTGCGTTGGACCACTGTTCGTATTCTGAATATTGTAGGCCAACATTTCATTTTCATTGGCATGCAAGTAGCTATTCATTAGTTTGACCTTTGCGCCATGCATGTTTTAAAAGGTTGGAGTTGCTGGGCGTATAATATCCTCCATTGCTGGGCCACCATTTGTCCAGTTTTTTATTTCGTACTCCTCATGTTTTACGAAGTTTATTGCTTACCCAACAAAAATGTTCCCACTGAAAAAAGTTGCAATCAGAAGGTTATATCAACTATCGATTAGAACTTTTTTAGCAAATTTTTACTATATTTTAGGGTAATCTTTTGACAAAACTAAGAAAGGCCGTCACTAAAGCAACTTGTAATCTTGTAATAACCGACAATACAAAAAAAAAAAAAAAAAAAAAAAAAAAAATAAATAAACAAAACATTAGTATTAAAAAAAACGTTTTTTAAAACGTTTTTTAAACGTTTTAAAAACGATCTGTGCTTACTGGGTAGAGGACATTATGTCATAGATGTACTTTTACTGTCGTCTATCTTTAAGATTATTTTTAAGCTATCTTTTTAACTTTTTATTTCTTATTTATCAATTTTGTTTTTAAAACAAGGTTGTGCTTTAAATGGAGTTGATGCGATTGGTGTGATCTTGATATTCATTAATCAATCAAAATGCGATTGGTGGATCTTGATATTTATTATTTAAAATTGTCTAATGCCAGAATATTTAACAAGTAGCTAGAACGGCTAGAAGATATTAATAGATAAACAATCTTTTTTAATTCCAACTGAAATAAGTTTTTTTAAAGTACAGGCATAGTTTTTTTCAACTCAGGAAATTTCTGTCGCAGACTAAAAGAGAAGTTCCACAAAAACGAAAAGCCGTTAAACAACTGGGGAAAACATAAATTATCCCTAAGGGATAATAATATAATAAATTAAATATAATAAATTAAAAAAGTCTTTTGACACTTTGTTTTCTGTTGCTACATCTGTACAATCAATCTGTACAAATAAAATAGATTCTACAGATGTAGTAACAGTTAACAAAGTATCAAAAGACTTTTTTAAAATTATAAACATTTGTCTATTGATTTAAAAACAAAAGTATAATTATTGTGCACTTTAATAATATACAAAACATCAAAGAAAAAATGTTAGAAAAAGGCATATTTCAAAATTGGAGGGTAGCCGGACACATAGTTTAACCACAGTTTTACTTCGTTTTTACAATGTGACAGAAATATAATATATAATAAATTAGCTTTGAACTGTTTTCAACACATGTAAATAAAAAAAATCGCCTTTAAAAATTGCCTCTGATATATAAGAAACAGGAATAAAAATGTCATCATTTAAAAGTACAAACATTAGCTTTTTACCAATGAAAATAAACACTTTTTTCAAATCTTAAGGTTTTTTTTGGAATCAAATGAATTACTATTATGGTTTTGTGTATTATATCAAATTTATTATTATTTATATAAAAAAGTTGCTCATTTTTAATATGTAAACGGATTAAGTTGTCTGGAACCACCCTTCAAAAATGTGTTTGATACCACCCGATCATACCTCATTCACAAATACTAGTTTTAAAACCAGCAAACTAAAGTCTTAAACGTATTTTTTTTTTTAATAAGTATTGTAAATAAAAATGTTAAAAATCTTTAATCAATAAAAAATTATTAGTTTACATAAAAATTAGGTATATCAATATGTGAATCAAATATTATAATACATTGCTCATCTGGTGCTAGGAAACTATATCTTAGACTTACACCCAATTGCTTCAGCATATTATGATTGATATTTTGCATATGCCAAATTGCTACTCAAATAAAGTTTTTATAGTGTTTAAAATCACATGGCTTCTTTAGTTTTAGGTGTATTTCGAGTGTCCAGAATTACCCGCCGTCCGGGGCTACCCGACTTTCCCTTATATATATATATATATATATACATACATATATATATATATATATATATATATATATATATATATATATATATATATATATATATAATATATATATATATATATATATATATATATATATATATATATATATATATATATATATATATATATATATATATATATATATATATATATATATATATATATATATATAATGATAAAATTTATTCTTAGTATAAGACGCAGCTAAAAGTGCATTTTGTTATTGATGTACATTTGACTTTATGCTGCCTGCCTTTCGAGCTTATTTAAGCTTTGATTTTAACTAATATATATTTAAAAATATTATGTCTTACGTTTTGTATCTTACATCATTTTTGTATCTCACAACTTTACGTCTAACTGTTTAATTTATAACTTTCACACTTTACATTTTTTTCTATAAAATATTTGCTCTTATGTCGTGGTTGATGTTTATGACGCTCTATTTGGAGTTGAAACGGTTTAAACGCGTTAACAATCCAAGCTGTTCGGCATACGTCTTCTCAGTATAAATGTTAAGTTTCTTATATAATAGCTTGATTTTAAAAAAATTTCTCGATTATTTACATGTTCAAGTGGAGGAATGTTAGTTTTTAGTTTTTTGCAGTATTATATGCAAAGTGTAAAATTAAAACATCTTTAAATATTAAACTAGAAAAAACTCAATTGTACAACCTCTAATAATGGAACAATTGTATTGTGATTCTTTATTTTTCCGATGAGGCCAATACTAATAAACGCGCTGCTTTAAAGAATAAATATATTATAGATGTCATGTCCTAACAAAAACTTAAAAATTTATTTCTAATTTTTTTTAACGAACATGTTGCTAAAAATATTTTAAGAGTTTGAAAATAAAAAAAAGTTAGAAGGCTTAAAATCTATTATTTTAATTTGAGAATTTAATTCATCAATATTTTAGGAGCTTTAAAACCCCAAATTCCAAATAAAATTAAGGAATATTTATCTCTAAATGCAAATCTTTTTTAGGAATTTAACATTTATACGATAATTGACGGTAATTATGATATAAAACGTGCAATAACGGATAGTCCATAAAGTAAGTACGCTCGGTTAGGGAGGAGGGGGTCTGAAAATGGTATTTATGAGATAAGAGACAAGAGGTCAATTATAAAAGGATGGAGACACTAAATTAAAAAAAATATCTTAAAATGTTGGGTAGGTAGGTTAAAAGAGTAGGTACTTTTAGGGAGGGGGGGGGGGGAGGAAAGTATCAAAATATTTTATGGGCGACTCCTAAACAAAAAATCAACCAGCCACAATTTTATAAAACTATTAAAAGTAAATACAAAACAATCAATAATGAAAACAATATTGCAAACAAGTTGAGCAACATTTGTTAATATAGGATCTAAACTTACATTTCAAATTTTGTTTGTAAATAAATATTGTAATTACAACATGGTTGTTATATAAATAAATAAAATTAAGAAAATTTACATTTTTTAGAACTTGAAAGAGCTTTAGAACTTGAAAGAGCCAGATTTAAAACAGACAATCATATTCTTAAATTTTATTCTTATTTTTAATATATATTAATGATATGAATAAAGCTTCTCATAAAATATCCTCCATTATGTATGCAGACAATACAAATTTATTTTACAACAATTCTCATATAAAAATATTGCTCGAAACAATGAAAACTGTACTAGAAAGCTTTAACCAATGGTTTACTGCTAATAAGTTATCATTAAATTGTTAACCAATGGTTTACTGCTAATAAGTTATCATTAAATTGTTAAAAAACAAGTTTTACTCTAATAAAATAAACTCTCTAAAAAAAATTTCCGTTAAAGTTGCCAAAACTGTCAATCAATAAAAAATATGTCAATCAATAAAATTGAAATAAATTGAGTAAATTATATTAGGTTTTGTGAGCAATATTTGACGAGAATATATCACGGAAAAAACATATTAGTCTCATTGAAGCAAAATTACTTTCTGCTATAAGTGTATTATATAAATCTAGGGCCTTTCTTGATTATATATAACGCAAAATGTTTTACTTCAGTCTTGTTTATTGCCATCTTTCTAATATTGTTTGGGCTAACACACACAAAACTAAGTTATTAAGATTACAGAGCCTATATAACCACGCATGTAAAGCAGTTAACTATTTAAAGAGATTAGAAAACCCTTTCCCTGTAATGGAACTCATGAATGTCCTAAATAAATTAAAACTTAATTCGCTTCAAATATTAATATTTATGCATAAATATAAGAATAACTTGCGGCCAAAAGTATTTTTTGATATTTTTACATCGGCTTTTTTACAAAAATACAACCTTCGGTCAAATACCAACCATAACTATCACTTGAGCAGAATAAAATCACGAGTCAAAATTTTCAATTATTAGCCAAGGCCTGTAATTATGGAATTGAAAAATAACAATTTAAAAAATTTGAAAAACACTTTCTCTTTTAAACAACAAATGAAATATCATCTCTTTAATTTCCGACATAATTGTAAGTATGTTTGTATATGTGTGTGTGTGTTTATGTGTATGTATGCATATATGAGTTTTTAACTAATATTCTTCACGTAGTACCTTTCAGAAAAAATATTTTCTTTTAAACTTATTAAAGCCATGTGGGCTTCAAATGTTATTGTATAGGGGCTCTATGAAAAGATTGTGGTGACACCAGTCATCCGTATCTTCTTTGATCCCCTGTCTGTTTCATATTCTTTGTGTAACGTAAAAGTTTCTTTGTAATTTTATTATTTTATTTTTATATGAACAGCAAAACATATTAAAAATAAAAAATAAAAATAAAATCACTACAGTAATCGACGAGGTTTTTTTTTAAATAATAATTTCTAATACTCCCTCGAAAGGTAACTTTCGTAAAAAAATTTAAAACTGGAAATACAAGTGAAATAATAAAATGAATTACTGACCAATATCAATACTCTTTTAAGTCTCTCTAAGTTAAAGCTATTTGAAATCATTATGAACAACAGGTATGTATCTTTTTTAAAAAAAGAGTAGTATAACTAATTTCGCGTATATATTGGTTTTAAAATATCTGAACACGCTTTCTTTTGCCTGATTAAAAACAAAATCGTTGTTTTTATCAATTTGGTTTTTTATCAATCTCTTTAAAGAGTTTGATATAGTCGACCACAAAATACTCTATCAATTAACGGATATGACATAAGTGGTATATCAATCGAGTAGATAAAAAACTATTTTGAAGCGTGTGCAATCTGCATATTAAGAAGATATATAACTCCAAAATATGACTTCAAAAAAGTGCGGTGTCCCTAAGGAATTAAACTCTTTACTATTTTCATCAAAAAGTAAATCAACTGTTATATTGATTTATGTTTTGATGAAAATAGCAATGACGACAGCAACATTTTTATATCCGTTAAAACTGTTAACGAAGTGTTTGTAGAAATGAATCAAAGTTAGAAAAAGCTTCAGAATAATACAGAACAAATAAACTCTCTATTAACTCAAGTAAAATACAGAACAAATAAACTCTCTATTAACTCAAGTATAATACAGAACAAATAAACTCTCTATTAACTCAAGTAAAATACAGAACAAATAAACTCTCTATTAACTCAAGTATAATACAGAACAAATAAACTCTCTATTAACTCAAGTAAAACAAAAGCTTTGTTTATTTCATCATTTCTATAAAAAAATCCAATTCACCTTTTCCAGAATTGCCAATTGAAAATAGAGAAATAAGTTGGGAAAACGTTACTCCTCGATTACTCATTGTACATACTTTATTTATGCAAATACATTTTAAAGTTGAAAACTTTTAAAATATAAAGACCCAAAAAGATACTCATTTTAATTAAATAGTATGGCTGATATTTTAAATCGGATACTAATATGTTATATATTGGTATTTCATAATTACATAAATTCTAATTTAATAGTTACATAAATTAAGATATTGTAAGATTAATATTCTAAAAAAAAAAAGTTAAAAGTGTTTGATGGTCAAACCCACGAAGTTAAAAGTGTTTGATGGTTTGTTAGCAGGCAAACCCACGAATCTAAAATCGCACTTATTCAGTGAATATGAGCAGGTTTTTTAGGTTTTTGGATGATTTTTAAATTTTCAGATAGGGTTAATATTTTTCAGATGGTCTGAATCAATTGAATAAAAAATAACTTAAAAATTACTCCCCCTCCTTTCTCTTTTCTTCCTTACTAGATGGTCAGAACTCTAACCACTACGTCGATAAGTTTAATGACAAAAAATATAAAATAAAAATAATAAATGATTGATAAATATATTTAGGGATTTACAAATGCTTTTAGCCGAATTGTTAACGACCCATATTATGTAGTATGTATCAAAAAAAAAGAATGAATTTTTCTGATTTAAACCAAGTTAGGTACGTTAGGACAAAAGAAACTTTTAGATGCTGAGGTGGTGTCAAAAGTTTTAAAGTAAGAGTTAGGTTATTGCTTAGTAGATGCAATAAGGGAGTGAGACTTGTGGTGGTGGTAGAAAGAATGTTGGTAAAGAGGTTAATTGTTTATATTAAACTCGTCAAGATCACTAAAAATCACTTTTGAGTGCAAAATTTATTTTCTGATATAAATATACCTATATTACTGTAATATAGGTATATTTATATTAGAAAATAAATTTTGAAAATAAAATAGAAAATAAAATCTCATAGATTGCATTCACACAAATATATTTTATTATATATATTATCATTAAATATAATAAAATCTATTTGTGTGAATGCAATCTATGAGATTTTATATTCAGTTTTCTGCTCGGTAAACATTGTAATAATTTCTTCACTCCATGTTATAGTAAAGAAGTACATTACTGAACTTAAATGAAACTGTAAGAAATAATTAAATTGCTTGAAATTTAAAAATGGTAACAAAGAGATTGTTAAAGATTAGTCTTATTGCGCAATGGAAACGTTAATCCTTTTAATAGGCCAAGTACTGTTAATCCTTTCAAAATCCTGATAAAAACGTGACTCCTAAACGCTAAACTAGTACTGTTCGGTGTAATAGACGGTTCTTAAAAAAAATATCTTAAAGTCATAACAAGATTTTATATAATTTTTGAGATCTGAAAGTATTATTTAAAAAAAAGTTTTCAACAGCTGTTACTTTGTTTTACCTGTTTTAATAGTTTAATAGTGTTTTTCAATAGTTTAGGTGTTTATATTAGTAAATTTACTATTTCTAAAGATCCTTGAATGTAAAAACTTAATTGAGAAATAAATGATTGATTGATAGTTTAAAGAGTGTTCTGAGTTTTAAAGATTCTCCTAATCTGATGTCAAAAGTTTTATAAGAAGATTAAATAAATTATACGCTCACTTAATTGGGTTTGTATAAGACTATGATTACACCTTATCTATATTATGGAAGCTTCATACTATGCTATCACATGATGTTACTTTAATTTAGGAAAAAATCAATGAAGCCTAGTTAGGTTTGCAAAAACAAAAACAAAAACAAAAAAAAAAAAAACAACAAAAAAACAAAAAACAA